CATTCTGCATCGTAACAAATATTCAATGGATTTGGTCCTTGTTTATTTCCATGCTCTGTAAATTCAAAGTTTCTGAATGTGTATTTGTTGAAGCTTGCCTGGACGCATAGAGCTATCTCCTTGACCTAGTTTTTTCTATTTCTATTTCTTTTTCCTTTCGGCTTCTTTATATCAAGTGAAATAATCTAGCAGTAATTTAACCCCACCTAATCCCACTTTTCTTTTTCCCAGCACAGCATTGCAAACCTGCTGGGATTTCATTTACCCTGAAATAATTGTATATAACACTTCCTTGAAGTGTTTCTCCGGTCTAATGAGCATACTTGCTAACAACGTCTGCATGAGATAAGAATAGCTGGATCGTTATAGGTTTAAAAAAAAAGGCTGCATTAAGATTCTATTAACCTGTTCCATTTTGAATATTCAGACATCACTTTTGTTCCCAATTTCCCTTTCATACATGTGTAAGATGGGGCAAGATAGCACTAGCACTTAGACTTATATGCCGCTTCACGGTGCTTTACAGTCCTCTCTAAGTGGTTTACAGTGTCAACCTATTGTCTCCAATAATCTGGGTCCTCATTTTACCAACCTCTGGAGGATGGAAGGCTGAGTCAATCTTGAGCCGGTGAGAATCAAACTGCCAAATTGCAGGCAGCCGGCAATCAGCAGAAGTAGCCTGCAGTACTGCATTCTAACCACTGCGGCATTGAGGCTCTTGTGGTGGCTAGGTTAGAATAGGCTCACTCTCTGATCCTACTCACCAACTTTTAGCCTTAATTGTTAGATGGATTTTCTGTTTCAACAGTGAAATGAGAGGTAGAAAATCTAACGGCTCCTCCTAGTCTATAAATCGCCCAAATAGCAAAAGAAGTGCTAGCTGCAAACTATGGAACGCTCTCCAGAGAAAGGCAGGTGATTCAGAGAAGTGTTGTTGTGTGTGTGAAGTGTTTTCCACCTGCCTTGTCACCCTGGGACAGCGCCACGCTCACAACTCTGTCGCTTGCTTTTGATGTGGTAATAAGCATTGATCACAGATGAGGAAAGTGTGAGTGAGTGTGTGTGAGAGAGAGAGAGAGAGAAAGATGGCTTTTGCTGTTGTGGATATTATTAGTATTATTATTTTAATCTTCTAGCTGTGGAAGACAGAAAATTGTTCATAGGAATGGTTTCGAAGAAGTGTAATGAGAACGATATCAGAGTGATGTTTTCTCCATTTGGCCAGATAGAAGAATGCCGAATCCTTCGGGGACCAGACGGACTCAGCAGAGGTGAGCATACACCGTCTTATAAGGCCCTCTTGTTTTAAAAAGCGAGGTAGAATTGGGTGTGATAGGTGGGGTGGAGGAAACAGAACTGGTTGATCAAGATCAAGGTTGAGCTCAGATGTCATGGGACCAGCCCTTTTTCATAGAACTTCAGCAGAATTTTATGTTTAGCCCTACAGTTCTGGATTGAAGGGGTGGGCAGTAATTAATATCCATATGCCTTGCATTCCCTTGTGGGTTATTTCCCTCTTTCTCTTCAACCCAGACTTTCCAAAGAAGAGTTAGGTTTTGCTTTCCCCATTGTGTGTATCCCCGAGTCCCATAATTCAGCTTTCTTGACAGGGATGGAAATAAGAGTAGGTCCTTATAACGTATTTGTTTTTCTGAATTTGTCCCCCTGCCCTGTTGACCTCAACATTTCAATATAGCTCTGTCTGCTGGCTGCACATCTTCATCTGACCACCCTGGCCCTGAGTATTGCTTCTTGATCACACCTGAGAAGCATGCAATATCCTGAGCTAATCTTTAGGTATCTCAATTGGACAAAAAAAAAAAAGAAAACCCTGTAGATTTGTAACTAGGGAGCGCAAAATACCACTTGTTTTCTAAGCACATCTTGGATAGTAGAGCTGGGTCCTAACTCTACATTTTCGGGGGGGGGGAAATAATAAAATAAAATAGGTGGCTCTCAAGGAGTAATATAGTGCAGATCTGAAGTTTGAAGAGACTGGGGAAGAACCTTCTGGGTGACTATGTAAAGGTTCTTGATATGAATGATTAACAATTCAGTCTGATTCAGGTGCCACCAAGTTGTTCGTTCAACCTTATTCCCAATTCCTTGAATAATATTACAGCTTTAGCTACCTATTCACATTTAGTCTGTTAGAAAAGAAATGACATGTTCC